AATTCGAATACGCAGATCGATCAGGCCCAAGGGGAAAAGCTAATGGAGAGGCGCCACGATCAAGATGACAGCGCTGTAGAGAAAACGCACATGGCCTCCAGTGATTGGCTGGCTCTTGTTTTTGGGAGTGTAGGCACTCCAAACACTGTGCATACTTGAAAAAGCGTCTACCAAAAGGGTTGAATCTTTCTTTCACAAAACACAGCAGTAACAAACATGTCGACTGAAAATTCGGCGAGAAGTGTGACTGTATGAAGATATGGGAAATTCTGCAAGAGGACGAACTAGGAGATCCGAGCGGGAGTCAAATTGGATGGAGGGAGCACCCGGGTTTGAACCGGGGACCTCTCGATCTGCAGTCGAATGCTCTACCACTGAGCTATGCTCCCATCTGCAATGCCATTCCTAGTTTTGCTATGCCGACGAACTTCTCGCTACTGCGCAGTTTGGCAACATGTGATGGCTAGCAATCAGTTCGTCAATCCGCTCTGCGCGTACACATTGAGGAAATAGTGTTTTTTTAAAGAATTTAAGAGATGATGTCCAAAACGGACCGAGCTGCAGATATTTTGGACAAAAACGGTGGTCAGACTGGCTCACGGCGCCTGTTAATCAGGCAGCACAGAGTACGCGAGAGCCAGTAACTACCGCCGTACATGATGGGAATGTGGTGAAATACGCCTTCACGTTGACCTTCAGACCGCGTCAGTTACAGACACCCATCCGATGAAGCGCTGACTGATAGACTCGGAAACAGTTTGATTCATACAAGAGGGAAGAGTGAATAGGAACTACACTGGGAAATCCGAGAGGATGCTAGAGTTGGCGGAGGAAACAGCCGGATTCGGACCAGGGACCACTCGATCTGCAGTCGAATGTTCCACCATCTAGCTATGCTCCCGTTTGCGATGCTACACTATGCCGGCGAATTCCTTGTAACTGCGCAGCTTGGCAACATGCGCTGACCGGCACTCCGCACGTCAATTCGCTCTGTGAGTGCGTGATGTGGAAATAGTCCCAGTGTAAGTGCCCGCAAGCACGCCAATGCAGGCCTGCTTTTCCATGGCTTCATCTTGAGGGGACTAGTTGCTTCACCCAGATCCCTATCGTGCTGAACACTGTGTCACTCCGTGTTACGGTAGGGATTTTGGTCAAATGGAACAAGAAGACCTTAAAGAGGAGGGTGCTTTCAAGTGTCCGAATGTAATCAGAAAGCCGTACAGCGAACGATTGGCTATTGGATTTCACTGTGATTGTCCCGTGTCAGACGAAGCGCACCTTCGTGTTAATGTGCTTGTTTACCAGACCAGGCGTCTTTGACTGTCCTCTGCTCCAGTCAGGTCTGAGGATGCACTGACAGGCTGGTATTACAGACTTTCGTCTTCCAGTAGGGAAATAAGCAACTAGTTCAGAAAACCCCGTTTTCCCGCAAAGAAAAGCCGGCTATTTCAAAGTTGTCCCTACACACTATGCCGTTGTTAGAAGGAGGTGGAAGTCCTTGCCTTCGATCTGAGTACATGTCTGCTAGATGGTCTAGCGTAGGGGTGGATAGCGTCCCATGGGACGACATTTACTCATCCATGATTGGTTTAGGACAGAATACGGACGTGCTATTTTGCTCCAGGAGTGAAATCCAGATCGTCCACAGTCGGTCGCATAGCTGATAAGTTATTAGCACTTGCATGTAGATTTCAGTGGTATCGATGTGGTTTTGAGAACCGAACAGCAGAGGTGGCCGCCATCAGGTTGCGAAAACCAGTCTTGTGCGCACAGAAGAACCACGTTCAGGCTCCGCACCTACAGTGGTCGAAGGTCGACTAACGCTACAACGCTCCCGCGCCCTTCCGCTCTCACCCCGCCCCTGACACTGACTGCTATCACTCCGCCCCCCCGTCCCCCACATTCCCACACCCAGCCTGTGTTTTAAGGCGAACTTTAATCGATTTATCTTATCACTGACATGTTTTACTTCTACCCCCTTCCCATATACTTGTACTGACCCGATGAGAATTTATCGAAGGCTATGTACTGAAGAAGGAGACACGATCGCTGGGACAAGAGCTTTATTTGCCTGACCTTTCGGATTCCTGCTCGGATCCATCATCAGTGACAACATCAGATACGGGTGGTTCATGTGCAAGGGGCTGCGGTAATCATAGTATGCAGTCGTCATGATACCGCCTACCTA